ACCAGGACAGGCTGTTACAGGCTTACAGACACAGTTTGAAAGTTTTCAGTGAAATTAGTACGAGTGCTTAGTCAAATTATGTTTGCTTGTTGACCCCTCTTATTTAATTAGTCCTTACTTCACTGAGCTGCTTCTACTTGCATGCACTGAATAAGCTATTTCATATTACTGTTCTACCACTCTAATGGTGGAAGAAGTTGATTCAAGAGAGGCTTTCTTTCCCATGTTACAAACTCATCACTCGTGATTTGTAGGTAAATGGTTTGCTGCATATTAGCCATCTGTTTGAGACCAAGGGGAAGGGTGTGTGGTAATCTCCAATCAAAGTTAGGTGCAGCTGAGCAGCCAAATAGACAGTCCTCGGGGTCTTACAATGTGTGGGTAAGTATCCAAAGCTGGGATGCCTGTTTGTGCTCTTGAGGTACCCACATCATCTCTATGCACTACACCAGCAGTTTCACTGTCTTTCGGTCGGAAAGAGAAGGGTTGTAGCCTCCTGCTCCATGGTCTGCTCTTCATCTCTGGCCTCCAGGCACCCAGCACCCCAAGGGAGCCTGTGTGTGCACATGCTTGTTGTGCCCCAAGTAGAGTGTAAAATGACCCACTGGCCTTGTTTACTAGGTCAGTCACACACCCTCACAAAACAGCCCGTCAGCAGGAGCAGTGTGCTCACTCTTGCCCAGTTCAAGAATGGGTGATGGGTGCCTGGAGCTGAGCGTCAGGGAATCGAACACCAGGGCCACCAGAGGCTTTAAGATTTGCAAAATCAAAGGAGATCCCTTCTCTGTCCCATTTGCAAAAAGCCTAACTGGGGTGAAGGGGGGAAGCAGATGGCTTTGGGTCACTCTACAAGCCAACATCAGAGCCAAGACTAAAATCCGGTTCTTGAAATCGCAGGCTCCATCTTCTATGGCTTACTGCCTCTCTAAGCATCTGTAAGGTTTTAATGAAAAACACCAAATCTTAATTTAGATTAGGATTCAAGACAAGTATCCTATTACTTAATTATAGGTGAACTGTAATTATGAGACACAAACATGTCTTGTTACAAAGCAGCAAGCAAAAAAGCAGAAAGGATTATTTGTTGTTTAATTCAGCAGAGGAAGGCAGCTGATGATGCCTAAGTCTGTCTGACACCTAGCGAGTTGTGTGATCCTATTTGTTAATCTTTTTAACTTTCCATTTTCTTAGGATAGGGTTTCAAGAGCAAATAGGATAAATAAGATTAAATCTGTCACCCTGAATTACTCTCCTCTGAGTTATAAGAAGAATCATGCTATGTCGGAGAAATATAATTAGGAGGAAAATGCTGCCTCTGTAATTGTGTGCTTCATTCAGAAGAATCTGAGATCCATAATTATCTCTAGCATGCCACAGTGGTGTGTGCCGGCTCTTAATTTCTACAGTAAACAAAACCACTGAAGGTTTCCTGAGCAGTTCTTGTTGTAGCGCAGCTGGTACCCACAATGGTAGTGGTATTACCCTTCAGGTCGCCTGGTTCAAGGGAGGGATCCACACTAAGTTGGAATACAGAACCCGTTGTACATTTATTTTCACACCTACCTTGAACTTGAGTGTTGGTTGTGAACTCAGGAGTAAGGGCCATGAGTGACAGAGAGTCTTCTGAGCTACAGCTGTGTCAGGTTAGGCACGTCAAACTGCTTATGCAGAAAGCGTCGCAGTACATCTGGTGCTGTGTTGTGTCACTTAACTTTTCAGTGGTCCGCGGATATTGCCAGTGACATCTGCAACGACCGCGATTCTACAGGGGCTGCAGCAAACAAAAAGGGTGCAGCTTTCTTTGTCAACAATCAAGCTCTGAGTTAGCAATTGGTGGGTTTGCTCCTAGACATCAAAGCCCATCAGAAATCTTGGGGTTTAGTTTTTCCTCTCAGAAAAGTCTGGGGATGATGCTCCATTAGGGGACTATACACTGCTCTTGGCTCTGCTTAGTTTATACGGCCCTGTAAAGGTTGTGGTGCCCTTCATGCTGTGTAATTCCACTGTGAGATGAGTTGAAGGAACAAGACTGAAACTTCTTGAAATTTTGGGTTCAGCAACCAAAGCAAGCTTTGAATCCATGTGTTGTTTATCTGGATTCTTAGCGAGTGCTGTTAGAAAAAGTAACTCAGAAGTTCTGCTGGATTTGGCCCATAGATTGGCGTTATTGCTGCTGGGAGCAGATCTCCCAGAGAGAGGATACTCACAAAGTAAAAAGAAACTCGCTAGAGATTCTGTTCAAACATTTCTGTAGCTTCCTTCTCGAGGCAGAGAGCACAGAGGGTCTGAAACCAGACTTTTTCATGATGGATTAGTGATAAAACAACCTGGCAGGCTTGGATTAGAATTTCTATTGCTTTGCCTAAAATGATGTATGCAGCAGGAGAGAGGGACAGGGAGGATGCATCATTTTTTTGGAATCCTAGTAGCATTTTTATTTTCTTTTTCAGACCTTTTTACAGTTACAAGCCAGGACTTGATCTCCACATCGGTTTTTATTGGTCAGTCTAGCTTATAAATGAGGCCCCTTTTGTCCTACCTAATTTTATGTAATCTGTGATTCTGGGAAGAAAAAATTTAAAGATTGTGAACAGACCTTCTGGCTAATATATACAATGACTCACTCTATCCTCTGTTTCACTTCCATGAAGTATTTTCAGATACACTATTTACCTATTAAATGAGCTGTTCAGTTTAGCTTATGGCTAAAGTTTTTCCTACTATTTTGATGTATTTGTTGGGAACATGACAAAGTAACATTAAGAATAATCCGAGACAGTCTCTTTCATTTTAATCTTGTTCTGAGTAACTAGTTAGCTGGAAGAAAGGGTTTCCTGTCCCTTGATTTGCCAGCTTATTTACTGCCAAGGAAATCTCTTCTCGGTGCTTCACAAGCAATGGGTAACTTTATAATCTTTCTCTGTGTAGGCAATTTCTTCATGGGAAGAAATGAAGTCAGTCGTGCCCAATACTCAATCTAATTTTACTATAGAGGGAAGAACCCTTTCCTGGGTAGAATTAATTCTGTAAGTGCTTATTTCAGGATTTCTTTTGCTTTCCTTTAAAGGATCTAGCAGAAACTGTTGTTAGTGACAGGTCTGCAGCTTGCTTGGCAAGGTCACTGCAGCACATTTCATGGCAAGTGAGAAACTTCTGCCTTGCCTTCGTTCTCAGTCATTGGCAGCTGCTTTGAGGAAAACTCAGCATGGCAGCAAGTCAGTATGACCTTGCTGAATGTTGAAATTCCACCTCCCAGGAAGCATAAAGGTCTTAAGGTACTTCATGGAGTCAACCTGTCTTCAGCTGGTTCTGTCTGAGCTAGCGAATCTCTATCAGCTTTCTCTTGTATAAGAACTAAGCCTTCCCTGCTAAGACCAGTTCCAGGAGAAACCCCATGGTCCTGCTCCCCTGCTGGGGCTATGTAGTAAAGCATCCTTGCTTGAGGGATAAGATTTAGTTTTTCCTTCTCCACTGGTCAGCCTGGAAGTTTGGCCCTGGCCATTGATGTATCTTGCTCTCGGCTTTACTGTTGACTCACCATGGATAGGATTCGTTCATCTTTCACTCTCTGCAGGCCAGGCTGACTGAAGCACGTGCAAAGGTCCTTTGAAAAGCAGTTTGTGGCAATGAGATGTTAAAAGCCTGGCTGTGAAGAGGAGGGGAGTGCAAAAAAATCTCTTCCTGCCTGCTCACAAAGAAATGGGAAGAGTAAGTGTGGTGCCCTTCTAATGCTGGGGCGTGTTTAACAGTGTCCCTTCCAGGTCACTAACACCATCCTCAGCTGTTCAGTACAGCGTATTGGTAGCAAAACCAGTGCGAATTAGGTTGGGAAGAACGCTGTGTAGTGGTTGTTTTTTCTTTTTCACTGCAGGCTTCAGCCTGGCAGACAACCAGATTTGACCGTAGCTGTAATACAGGCAAAATGCAATCCAGAATATGTGGGCTGAAATATGATTTATGCTAATGGCAGCAAGGTATTACTGCTGAACAGCTGTCTGCTTAGCAGCTTTGGAGGAGTCCCTGGCTGTCAAGGAGCCACTCAGTCAGGGATCTTACTTTTTCAAAGAAATTCTTTGTCCCACATTTTTCCTTACTTATATTTGCCAGATTCATGAGATTCATCAGATGTTTCCCCTCAGCAACCCTGTAATACCAAACTTCTTTATGCAGAGCAGAGGAGCAGATTTGGTCTAGTGTTCAGAGATCGCCTTTAGAGAGGCTGTAAATGGGTGAATGAATAAACACTGCCTTTTATTGGATACAGCTGCCTGCCCTCCTCTGCTAGTGGGAGGTGTTCTTCTTTGCAGCTAGAACGATTTTCCTGTAACTAACATGCATTTCTCCCTCCTCTTTCCAAAGTCTCCTACTTTTTCTCCTTCGCCCTTTATCTTCGCTTCCCCTCGGCTGTGTTTGCTGGGTGGGCAGCAAGCCTTTCCGGTGTTCCTGAAAATTGTTCACAGGAGAGATGCCACCCACTTTCTTTCTGATATCACATTCTTACATTCTGCTGACACCTATGGAGCCCATGCTCAGTCTGACTAAACTTTCCCCCAAGGAGAGGTTTGGAAGTGTTGGTTCTGAGTGCTACTTGGTGTTGAAAACCACTCTGGGAAGCGTAGTGAGGAGTGTGCTTCTCTTTGTAGATCAGTGATTTAAGAATCTTATTCTGCTTTACACCAGTGAAAATTGAACGTAATAGCAGCTGCAGCAAGGCTGTACAGAAGGTAAACAGAAATGCAACAATGGGATGAAGCTTTTATAGAGAGAAGCAAAATGCCAGGTTGCAAATAAGGCAATGGGGTTGCAAAGCCCTATGAGCCATGTGGACAATGGTGCTTTCTGTGCTATGGAACAAAGCAGCTTCACAGAGGGTGTCTGCAGTTGCACTTTAGATCAGTGAAACTGGTTCTATGGAAATTTCTGTTGTTAAATTGCAAATTCAGCCTTGTTGCATGGCTGGTGCGGCAGGGACAAGATACTTCTCTGTGTGATGATGATGAATGGGAAGAAACTACATGTTACAGCCCAAAGAGCCCTTACCTAGAACCTCTTTTCTCCACAGGTGTCCCTGGTTGACAAAAGCCATCTCCCCAGCCATCCCAGTGTACAATGGGCTCGTGTTCTTGTTTGTACTGGCAAACTTCAGCATGGCAACTTTCATGGACCCTGGAGTTTTCCCACGAGGTAACAGAGAACGGGACCACTGGGAGGGGGGATTTGAAAACTCAAGTCAAGGGAGGTATCAGGAATCTAAAGACACTATTTGCTGACTAGTCTCCTTTTTTTTCCGGTATTCTTTCTTGTAGAGTTTATTAATTTATTTATTTAATATAGTCAGCTGGCAGTAGAGCTGGGATGGTAGTGAAATGCTGGATACCCTCCATCTCTCTTCTGAGCAAGGAGATGTCGGTTGTCCTTGCACTTGCTCAGACTTGGCAGTCAAGAGCACAGGGTTCTCCTTGAGTAGCTCTCCTGACTGATGTGATTTCGATTGCCATCCCCTGTGTCAGGCTGGCACACTGGATTTAAGTCACTGTCTTCACAATAGGTAGCAAGAGCATGGTGGAGGGGAGAGGCAAAACTTTCTGAAACAGCTTCATCAAAGCGAATGCAAAAGCATCGAACGCTAAAAAGGATAATGATTAAGGCTTGCCTTAGTGTGTCTAAAAATGTATATGTTCGAAAGATATGCCTGCTTAAATTAGTACTGATTCACAGCTGATTAAATAGGATAAAGATCGCTCAGCTTTTGTAATGGGAACTACAGTGCAGCTATCTCTTTTAACACAATCTAATGAGAGAATTATCACCTCATTTTATCCGTCTTCCAGTAATTATTCACATGCAGTTTGCAGCAGAGACTGCTCTAGGGAGTCTTACTAAACCAGTGGATCTGTACTTTCTGCAAGCTGTGCTTTCTCACCTCTATTCACTGAATTCAGTATCTGTTTGGTATTGCTACCTGACAAGAACAAGGTACCTGTACTGCTGGCTCCCCTGAATAGCAAGTGCAAAGTTTCTCCAGGTAACTAGGTCTAATGCTAAGCATCTGTCTGCCATTCCTTTCAGCTGAAGCTTTTGGACCCCTGATTAAGTGTTGCAGCACTGCAGTTAAGGAAGTAATTGTGTGCAAAGGCCAACTAAGGCAAAGGCAAGATTCAGTCATTTGTGCAAGATTAAGTATTGCAGTATTTAGGTGCTTAAAATTACAAATAGGCGCTAGTAAGTTTTTCAAAAGAACTTAAACTCTTAGAGCTTTTAATGAGCTTCTGGGACTTTTTAGTTCCTCCGTCTCAGCAAATGCTTTGGATGTGAGGTTATCGAAAGCATCCATACTCTTTCCTTTTGTGGGAGGAGAGCTGGAATAAAGTTGTTCAGTTTTGAAAACCTCAGTCTGGGAATCGAGTATCTTTTTGTGACGCAGTTCCCTCAGACCAGAGCCCTGTGAGTGCTCAGTGCCGAGGGTTTTGTAAATTCATACCTCCCTTTGCACTTGCCAAGGGTTAGGGCTGGGCTGGCCGCTAAACGCAGACAGATGCTCTCTAACCCCTCTCCCTTTGCAAAGGGAAGTGAAAGAGGCAGAGAGACTTATGAATTGGAAAACTAAAAGAGCTTTGATAAAATGATAACAGTACTAATAACTTCCTTTTGCAAACAAGTTCTTTATTTTGGACTTTGCAATTAAAGGGGAAGCACATAGGGAAATCAAATAGAAACTCTGAAATGTTTTCATTATCCTTCCATCTCCATTAACACAAGGAGTCAGGAGCAAAGCAGGAAGGGGAGGAGTTCCTATAGTTCACATTTCTTCTCTCTCTCTTTTTCACTTGTGGCATTTGCCTTATGTCTCTATGCTGTTCATGTCCCTGGTCTGGAAGAGGCTGGGAGCAAGGGGAAAGGTCAAAGAGAGGGATGGAAGTCATCCTGGAAGAAAGTGATCGAGTAGGAATTTAGGTGCATGAAAGGAGCAAACTGATAAGGAAAAGATGGAAAAGACTATAAATACCAGTGCTGGGAGGAAAGAGGAGCAGATGTTATTTCAGATCACAAGCATGCATGTGAAAAAGCTATCACCACCCCACGCCGCCCGCAGAGCTGCCAGTGCAAGGAGTTCAGAAATTGTAGGAGTGATTTTAAATGAAGATACAATAGATCTACTTGCTTTCTGTTATCCAAAGTAGGTTTAGTCGTCTTGGGTTTCAAATTTCCTGCAGAACCAAAACAACGAATAAGCAATACAAAAGCTGATATTCTCATGAAATCACGATTCCTGTAAGGAAGCCACTGAAAATCATATGTTATAAAAGCACAAGACTTGGCTGCTTTGTGTCAGTTGGTCAGAGTATGAGAATCTGTGTGGTAAGATACATTCCTCTGCCAATGTATTCTTCTGCTCAGATCAGTGAAAGCTGGAAATACACATTTCTAGTTATATCTTATGAGCATACAGCTTCTCTGGCAGATAGAACTTGGGCTATGAGGGGAAGTAAACCCATCTCACTCTTGCATTGTTGGAGAGGGCCTGAATCAAACTCTCAGCTCCATTACTCACTGTTAAATAATTTTTTAATTTGTTGGCTCTCTGAGTGTTTCTGGTATGAATCAGGATTGGCTCTGTGCACGTGAGTTGCCAGTAATACACCAAAATGAATGAGAAGGAAAGGAAGTATTAGGTCACTGAAATTGGGGTTAACCTGACAAATCTGATTTACAGTCTGAGTTGAGACTGGCAAGGCTCGTTGCTGGCTAATGCCAACTACAAACTGACTTCCAATATTTTTATGTGAATTTATTTTACATAAACACTTAAAGTGTGTGCCAGTTCTGCAAGACTAATGTATTTATATGTGTGTAGGTCTATGCAAGGTGCAGACTTTTTGTTTGTGTGGTCAGGTTTTTTACAAGAGCTTAAATGGTTTGACTGTTCTATTGTCTTGTTTTCATATGCCCACATGTATTATATAGCATGGGCTAACTTATAATAGTATTGAAGAACCTACAGATTGTATTTATAGAAGTGCCTAAGGGATTTAGAGTCTAGCTTGCACCAAGACTTCCAATGACTAGTTATGAAGGAAAATTATAGAGAATAGTGCCAGCACAGCATTTTGCTGCCATGGACAAACGCTAATCCAGAGAATACTCTTGCAAGGTAAATACTGTAGCTGAGCTAGATCCCAAACTCATCTAAGTGAAGGGAGGAACTCCTTCTGAAGTCAGTGGAAATTGGATCATGGTAACACATCTAGAGAATATTTAATATAGAACTAAATGACAGTGATTGATGCCCTGCTGGGACAATATTATCAAATTCCACCTAATTTGGAATCAGTCAGCCAATGCCAGCTGCACTATAATGTTTAACCAGTTGTTAAATAGATCTGAATTCCTTAGATTTTCTCTATCAAAAGGAAGCAAATAAAGATCACAGGAATCTAGAATAAAAGATGAAGTTTCATGAGTGTCATTCTCACTTTTTCCCTTTTCTTCCCAATACATGTTTGTCTGTTATAGACTGGCTTTTATTTTGTGCATTTACTTTTGAAATGCCTCTTTTCTTAAACAGAGCAGCATTTAGCTGAGATGATAAACCATCTGCCCTCCACGTTGCCCCTAATAAGATGACTGTGATATTGTCATCCTCATCTCTCTGTTGGTGAAGAGATCAAGGCCACTAGATCAAGGCCACAGAGTAAGAAAATTAGAATACAGGCCTTTCTGACTCCCAGCCCTCTGCTCAGATCAGTAGACCATGCAGCCTTTGAGAGAGGTGAGATCTTCCCAGTTAAATACCATTACCAAAGCAAGAGCATCCTGGGTATGCTCTGAAGAGGTGAGCATGGGGTATGCTATAAGGAAGTAAGCACTGGTGCAAGCATTTTTCACGGGCACACAGGGTGCTTCAGAATGGTGTATCTCACTGTGGCATCAATCTCCCCAAAGCAACAGGTCTTTAGGATGGTTGTGGGCTGACACTAGAGGGCTGAACAAATCATCGTCATTTAGGGTCATCTGGGTTCCTTTCTGGGTTTGAGCTAGCACAGCCTTCTAGTATTTGTCAGTGTAGTTTCTTTCCCTGTATGTGCTGGTAGGCGTGCATTGAATTTATCCCAAATGCACGCAGCAGAACTTCTCACAGCAAGGGCTTCAGTGATTTCCATCCCCTCTTTGACCCTAGTCTGCATCTCTTCTCATTCATTTGGGTTGTAAATGCTGGCTGAGACTCAAACACCTCTCGTTTTCCAAGGGCTGGTGCATAAGGCTGCACAGCACTTCTGTGGAAGGTGCTGAGGTGAGCCCTGATCGCTGACGTGTTCTGCAGCCCAGACAACCTGCTCTGGCAGTCCATCACTTCCATGACTCCTTTTTGTCTGACAAGCCCAGGAGCATGTGCAGTGCCCCTGTATCCAAGGCACTGACTGGATTAGCTCTTTCCTCTTTACCCTCTGTTGTTTCCACTAACTTTTAGTTTTGCATTGAGCAGCAGATGAAGATGAAGATAAAGACGATGACTTCCGAGCTCCACTCTACAAGAATGTGGAGATTAAAGGAATCCAAGTACGGATGAAATGGTGTGCCACCTGCCACTTCTACCGTCCTCCACGCTGCTCTCACTGCAGCGTCTGTGACAACTGTGTTGAGGTAACAGTTCTGTTGATCATTTAATTTGGAACAAACTGGTGCCTACATTAGTGGACAAGCAGAGAAGCTAGAATGATGGGTGAGCTTTAGGAAAACCAAACTCAGAACTGAGTGAGTGGTTCCCCAGTGAACAGAAAGACCCCATAGTTGTTTCAACACCCCAGCTTACAGCATGAACTTGTTCATGTTTCTGATGCTGCTCGATCTGAATTATGGGGCTTTCATGCTTCTTGATGGCCCTAGGGTCTTGGTGAGGCACCCAGGATTTTTAAAAAATAACCCCCAAACAACAAAATCTGCTTTTGGGCCATAAACATCTGCCAAACTTTTAAGTACAGAGTTTTGTATCCACAGCAGTGTGTTGCCAGGGGGGATTTTTTATTGCTGAGCTAAAAATTCCACTTCTTAAGGATCATTTCTGCTCCAAGGTCTACTTTTTTTTTTTTCCCCCCCCGATAGAAAGATGAAATCTTTAATATGTCTGAAATATATTCAGCTGTGCCACTAAAATGAAAGGAATTGCTAATCAGAAAGGGAAAAAATATCAGAATCAGCTGGAATGCTGTATACACCATCGTTGTCCTAATCCTCTTTGCCATAAGCAAGAGAACTGTCTCAAAGAAAGCAGCACAGTTATGTGTGAGAGAAAGCCTGCTTGGGTTTATCTTGTGTCAGTCATTTTCTCCTTCAGGGCAATATATATCTAAGTTATAATTATCTGGAAGCAGTGCTGTGCCTAGTAACCATCAATAAATAGGACAAGGCTGTCCTGTTGTGGAGACCCTTAGAAGGATGTGGGGTTTGAGAAGATGTAGAGTAAGGAGCTGCCAGGGTCCCTGGGTAGAGAGGAGTAGCCACAGATATTCATAAGTTGTGTCACACAATTTCTTTAGGCTGCAGTGAGTTGTTGAACAGAGCTGAATTTTTTTGTGGAAAACTCAAATTGTATATTCCTAGTTGTAAAACATAAATGTTTTCACTAATTTTAGATCCTGAGGGTTGTTTAGATGGTGGTAAATTGTCAGTTGTCCCATGGAATTTCTTTCTTCTGCTTTCCCCAGTGGCTCAGCTTGAAAATTCATTTTCAAGAAATGGAGTTTTCTCAGAAAAAGATTGCTCAAAACTCACTGGTATAAACACTTGCTGTTTCATGCTGCCATAAGGCCTCCAGGGGAGTCAGTTTTACAGCAGAAACGAAAATGGGAGAGAATCCAAAAGTAACCTAAATAAAATCGCAGAATGCAATGTGGCTCTGCCTAGTTCTCAATAAGTTTTATTGATGATCGTATCAATTGAATGCCCCTTACTGTTCTAGTGGGTACATAAGAAACTCTGCTTGTATAACTAAATTATAACTGCTGTGGAGGAATATAGGCAAAAAGCATTAATGACTTCTGAACCGATAAATCATGGTCCTAAACAGCATGCTTTATTGAGTCTTGTGATGCTTATTTCCCACTCCCCTATCTGTTGTGGAAGAGCTTGGAGTCAGTGATACAAGCAACTCTACTGGCTTTTCCATGTGAAACCCATTAAGGATTGTAATTCACATCTTTTCACTTTCAGTCTAGAATGTGCAACATTTTTTTTTTCCAAAATATAAAACTTCTGAGCTGATTTGATAAAAATGAACAAACAACTAAAGCTAACAACACTTGCAGAAATAAAACCAGTTAAAACCTAAAGCCTGCTGTGACCACAGAGGCCCAAAAATTAATCTGTGACAAAAGTAGTCAGATTTCTGTTTTCTTTGCTGTCGATACTTACGTAGTTTCATAATCTGTAGACATTTTGAGCTGCATTCAGTACAACCAGGTTTGCATGATACACATGTTCTATGTCACAGAATCATAGAATTGTGTCAGCGTTTTAGATATAGCCTGTAGTGATCTTTATTAATTTGCCTCTGTCATTTTCTAACGTGCTTTGAGAAAGCTGTAATCCATTTCATTGTATTTTGTAAATTTTTGTGCAAAACTTAATACAGAAGCCTCTTTGTCATCATTGAGAAATATTTTAAAACAGCAGCACCACAAAACAAAGAATAAACGATTCATTTGTTGATGTAATGACTGTACAATATCTGTTCCGAAGAACACAGAAATAAGAAGGGTTTATTTCTTGCACCTGATCTTGTCTTCATGTCAAGAATAATCCCACTGAAGACAGTGGATTTACGTGTTTACGGAACTGTGTAAAGGCACATGAAAGATGCCTGTGGCTTGCCCTCATTATTAAATCTCCTGCTAAAAGAGAGATCTCCTCTGACTTTATGAGGGTCTTTGAGCTTTTGACTGAGACAAATCATTAGGTTTGGATTCATAACTATTAATGAACTTGTGCAGAACTTTGCCGTGTCTTATCCAGCTGTTGCTTTTATTTGGGGACATGCTTGGTAAAGACATATCTTCCGTGATGTCCATTGTTTAAAGTGGATTCATTCAGCTACAGAAATGTGGGGCAGAGAATTCTGCAGCACTATTGCATATTCAGAGCATTCTAGATTATAACTGCTTCATTGTAATTGACTCCTTATGCTATGGATGATAAAAAATTAGTGCTTCTGCTGCTGGCAGATAAATAGCCTTTTATATTTTTATATCCTCTCTTCAAACCCTATGAACACTCAAGTGCCTCTCCAGCCATAGATACAGAAACCACTTGGTCTTAAGAAAAGCCTTATAAAGAGAGTCTGGCGTGTTGTAAAGCTGCAGGACCAGCCTGATGTAATTTTCTGTGACATTCGTTCAGATTTGTCTCTAAATGATGTATTTCCTTTCACCGTTTCAATATTGTTCTCTGTCTCTCCCTCTCTTTACAAGGATTTTGACCATCACTGCCCATGGGTCAACAATTGCATAGGACGGAGGAACTACCGCTATTTTTTTCTCTTCTTGCTGTCCTTAAGCACACATATGGTTGGAGTATTCACCTTTGGGCTCATCTTCGTACTAAACCATATGGAAAAGCTGGGAGCAGCTCATACTACCATTACGTATCCTTCGTTTTTGGTCTTTCAAATCTCAAGGTGGCCTTGAGGAAAAAGTGAAAGAATGAAGCTGAATACTTGTCTTCCCAGCACTGGTGGAGATCTACTCTTCCCCTGGTCCCCCACTGGTCTTCCCCTGTGAATGCTTAGTGCAAATTTTCCACTGTCTCCAGCTGACCTTTGTAACCATCGATGACTCTCAGAGCTATAGTTGACCTTTTGTCTATCTCAGTCTTTGCCAGAACAACCAAGCAGAAGGATATGCTGCCTCCCCAAATTTTACTTCCAATTGGGTGTGACTTTAAACTGCTGGATACTGTTTACTGTATTTAAAAATCTGTTACTATATTTTAGAGCACAGTTTGCCCTGGAAGCAGCCCACCTGCATTCTAGTGTAATGAACGAACTGCAGACTCTACGGGGTGCTACCCCTGTTGGCAGAGTAGTGCAGAAGGGACTTGACAAGATGGTTAGAGCTAGAATCAATGAGTTCACATATTTTTTTTAACCATTGTAAGGATAAAGACCCAGACTAGGAGTAGATGGACTTGACTTTGAGTTAAAATTTACTTAGACCTAATTAAAGGTGAGGGACACCCTCCCTAATTCCAAGATTATTTTTTTCTCCTTTTCCTCTCCCTCTCCTTCGTAGCCTGTTTTTCCCTATACTCATCACAGTTTCTTTAACTCCCGGATACAGAATGGCTGTCATGTGTGTGGCTGGCTTATTCTTTATTCCAGTAATTGGTCTCACTGGCTTCCATATCGTTCTAGTGGCCCGAGGACGCACAACAAATGAACAGGTAAAAAGTAATTCTTCCTCTGTGTTTGTGACTAAGATGTTGAGTTAGGAAAGAAAAAGTTAGCAAGACAGCTGGGTAAAGCAAAAAAATGATCCAAATCTTAGCGGTAACACTCTTACTGGAGCTTTTGTGAAGATCTAGGAAGTTTGCCTAGTTTTTTATTTCCATATTTTTTTCTTGAATGCATTACAAGCAAAGATTTCCCCCATCTAACCACAAAGGATCATCCCAGGCTTATTTGTCGTTTATGGCCTTGAAATAGGTTTTATATGGTGAGTACCATCAACCCCAGAAGTTCGAACTTAATGAGTCAGACTGAACAAACCATGAGACTGGATGAAAGAAAGAAAGGAAAAGATTAAATCATCCTTTTGCCCTGTCTCCTGATATTTTGAACTCCCCCAGCTAACCCATGCTGCATATAAGATCTGAGCTAGCTCTTTGTCTTACTCTGTCTCTCTCTTGTTCTCCAGCGTACGTGCACACGCACACAGAGAGGCGATTGGATCTAACTTGTTTTGCTTCTCCAAACCAAGTGCCAACATGACATCTTGGGCCAAAAAGCCTGTAAAACTTTAGTTCCCCTGCAGTTACTCAAATATACGTAATCCACAGCCCCTGTGTGAGTGGTCCAGACCCATGTGAACGTGCGTATCAATAGCATGATACGGGTGATAGAGCTCTAGTGATGGGATCGATAGCGTGCCCCTGCCGTTCGTAAGGGGCACTCAGCTAGAAAGCTTGACCCTGGGTCACACAGCGTCCCAGCACACAGCATTCTCAGCTTTCTTCCCAAGGCTAATGAGTTGTGTGCATTCCAGTGCTTTACTCTTTCAGAGCTCCAGCTCCAAAGCACTCCTCACACATATGGGGTTTTTTCCCTTATTTTTTCACATTACACTTCTTTTTCACTGTTTTTCTTTTTCAAATGCCTTTCTACTGCTCTTGCATCTATGGGTGCTCACTGTGGGCGCAGCAGTGGGCTCTTCTGGCTGTCCTGTAGGCTGATGTGTCATGCTTATGCAGTTTGTATGGCCACTGTGCGGACTGTAAGAATTGAAGACATCTGTCTGAGGCCAGGCTTTTGCAAACCACGATGAGATTGTCTCCTATCCCACAAAAGACAATAAAAACTTGCGTCCTGAATAGTGTGGGAGGTTTACATAAGCGAAGAATCCGAAATCATCCTGAATTGTTGCCTAACAAATCCTTTGAACAAAGCAGGCTTGCCATAGATCTTAAAAGGCTTTTCTCTGTCCTGCTCTTGATTTTAAAACTGGGTTTGGCCAAGTATTAGGTTTGCTAGTGCTAACAATAGCAGCATGAAACCCAGGCATTTTGGTCGCATAGTCCAAATCAAGGTCTGCCTTAGGCTTGTCTTTGTGCAGTGATAAAAACTGTCCATGAAAATTTTAGGCTGAGGAGGAAGGAAAAATTTAAGTTAAAAAAAATTAGAATTTAACTTTTTGTGTTTGTGGCTACACTAACATTTAGGAAGACTGAGAATTTTGCATTTAACTTGATTGAAATAACTATTGGAAAATACATCCTATCTTCTTTTGATTTCCTGAGCTACCAAACCACTTGATATTAATTCATATTCCCGTGCCATTTGCTGAAATATAGATATAATCTGGTCTTAATTTCTGTTTACTCATATGTACTGCCTATCTGTAACTGGAGGATGGATGTTCCCAGCCTTCAGGACCCTTTCAAGTAATTAGAGCACCAGACCAGGAGTGGTGCTTCTGAGATCTGCTCCTGGCTCGGCCACTATTTTAAAGAATTCACTTTTCCATCGCAGTCTCAGTATTGATTCTCTTTTCTCACACTGTTCATTATCTGCTGTCAGCTTCCCAGTTACAATATGCTCGGCTACACTTGTCCTCTTTTCCCTGTACATTTTATAGGCCAGTTGTACAGACGTTCTCGGTGCTTTACTGCTTATTTTTGGTATTTGTTCATTCCAGAGTTTGTAGGTTTTGAGCATTCATGGTAGGCAGACTGTGATTTAGGAGTGGATAGTGGCTGAGTTTAGATGTTTGTGAGCTCTCTGAATGCCTTTGAAAGTCTTGTATGGAATCAAAATATAACCCATAACCCAACATCTGCTCATACCCTGGTATTTTTAGTTTCAGAGTAGAGTAAATAAATATCTTTCCTTCTGGGACTGCTTTCTATCAGTGTATTTCAAACTACTTTAGAAACCAAACTGATATAATTAGTATTATAATCTGTGAGTTTGAGAAATTTTATTTTCATATTGTGTTTGAGAAAACGGGCACAGAGATACAAAGTGCTTTGCCAGCATCTGGCACGAGTCAGCTTAAGCCAGGGATTGAATGCAGATGTGCCAAATGTCCCAGGCCCATGTTCTAGCCATCAGGTTACTCTTCCAACACTCAGAACTTCCAGCAGTTCTCCCTTGGCCTTTTAAAGAGTTTTTAAGTTCTATCAAAGAGGCCAGCATAATATATTGCAAAATCATTTAATCGTTATTTTCCGTGCAAGTAATTAAAGTATTTCTGGTACTCTGTAAACTTGTTGCTAGATCAGAGCTATGAGTTGATTAAACTGCGTTACTTGCAAACAGCAGCAGTAATGTTTTTAATGGCAATGACTGTTAATCTCTCTGGCTTTATTGGTATTTATCCCCATATGGTTACTTTCAAGTATCTGCCTGTAGAGTACAAACCCTTTATAATGCTTATGAAGCTTTGAATGGATCCTGCCAGTCTAATGAGGCTTGGCTTTTATTAAACAAGCTCATTTCCAAGCAAACATTGTAACCACCAGGGAGTTCCTGGCACCCTCTCGCATAAGGCAGTGGTTCGTACTGATTGCTGCTAGGGACGGGATGCTGACAGAGAGGAAACATTGCTCTCATCCAACGTTGGAATGTTGAATTGATGTTCCTGTTTGCTTGGAGGTGACTTGCCAAGGCAGAGGAGTGGAAGTGACAGGGGAATGAAAGGAGCAAAACAGGATGTTGGGCTGACAGCAGGCACAAATATGCCGGAGTGGTGTGGAGAGGTGAACCTGACTGCTTTGAAGCCCAGTCCCAGTGAGCTCAGTGCTCCTTTGGGAAGGGATTTTTAGTTGGTGTCACTAGAAGTAGCTGATGGAGGTGCTGTGCTAGAGGAGAGAGGAGGTGTAGCATTCAAAGAAAAATTATCTGTTTGGGAAGGAGTCAGGTCAGAGCAAAGCATACTTGTTCTTGGCTTTCTAAGGGTTGGATGATGACATTTATATAACCAGAAATTTGAGTGCTGTCCTGAATATGTTTCCAGGTGACAGGTAAATTTCGTGGGGGAGTGAATCCTTTTACTCGAGGATGCTGCGGAAACGTGGAACATGTGCTCTGCAGCCCCTTGGCTCCCAGGTAAGAGGAATACTCTCAACTGGGAATGAGGGAGGTAGGGTAGTTGTTGGGACGAAGGGGAAAAAAAAAAAGTGCTTGATTGGGCTGAGAAGTGAAAGACCATTGGTGAAATAAAAGGGAAATAAAAGGGAAATAAAGCAAAACGCTCCTGAAGGCAGAGCTTTGTGATAGCTGCTTCAGTGTTGCATGGCTGTAACAAGCAGCTGCTTTCTTCATGAAATTCATAACCCTCGTCCCAGAAATGTGTATTTGGAATGAATGTGTCAAATTATGTCAAGAGCTGATACCCTTGTCTTCACCAGCTTGTTTATCCAGTGGATTTCAGTAACAAGGTAAGTTTCCATATGCTGTCATGTTCCCAGCACGACTTTTTGCACTGTACAATCAATGCCCAGTTAGTCTAGTCTGCTGGAGATAAGGAGGAAATCAAAAATCAGCCTTTCTTCTTAAGGCTTAAATCTCATTTAAGGCTGCTATGGTTTTCAATCTCACTGGCACTTTCATTATCATAAAACAGATTTTTGGTGAGGTCTACGTCATGAAACTTGGGATTTTACTTACGGCTTTCTATTTTGAGGAAAATAATTTATCATTTCACATTTTGAAATCAGGATTTTAATACAATAGATCAGATGGAGTATAAATATCCAGGGTGCTGAGCTGTCCAGCCTGCAAACGTGTTGATAATTATACTACAAGAAGACCTATTTGATCCTTTTCAGGGTGTTAAGCAATTCCAGACCCTGACACTATTATCTGCCTTTTTTTTCCCCCTTCACTATGCAACAAACAAGTCTTAAAAGACTTTTATGTATGTTAAAGTAAAGACACTGGAATTGGTGCTTCTCAAACATCAAAAAGTGAAAATCAGGACAAGATACTTTAAGAGAGCCAGCTATTAGAAGTTCGTAGACAGTCTTATTAAGAGACGGGCATGAGCACTATCGTCACGGCTATTCAGCAAGTGGAATGTTTGTGTTTTGTGTGTGTTTGTGTTTGCGCCTGTGTTTTGTTCAAATCATCCTGTATAGTGAAAGTCACTGAGCCATCACTACTAGAATGTCCTATTCACTAGATAAACCAGAGACAGCTTGTGTATGTATTGATATTTATGCACTGTACAACCACTGCCCAATTGCACTTGCAGAATTCTAGTCCACTGGAAAGAAATCCAGTGTCTAAAGTCAGCTGTTTCCCTTTAGATTTGTTGCTTCCTATAGACCTGTCTGTTTCTTTTACTTCCATTTATTGGAACATGCTAAACATGCCACAGAAACAAGTTACTGTGTGGTAAGCTAGAACTGACAGGACATCATCTTCTCCATGTTAACTCCTCATGTGCTGGGTCTTATTCCCCCAGTCACCGTCTTGCACCGCAGGGTTTCATGTTAACTAGGTAAGATCTAGTAAATCACTTCTATTGGTGGTAGGCCTGTCTTTCTCTCTCCGTGTGACCCGTACTCTTGTCTGTCAGTGCTTCAAAAATTGCTTGAGTGTTTTAATGCATCCTCTCCTTTTGCTCACTAAAAATATCATTGATCTTTGTATTGCTTTTTAATTATTACATCAGTTGAAATAAATGGAGTTTGCTTACTTAAATTCTGACACATTCTTAAATCATACCGGGGAAGCAGGAAGATTTTCTTGTCTCTATGCCTTGTTCTTAGGTTATTTTTTATTTTAATGATGACTGTTGAACAATTAATCAGGTATGTAGTTGAGCCCAAGAAAAAGCAAGCTGTGAGTGTGAAGCCTCCTTTCCTCAGGCCTGATTTATCTGAGCGGCAGATTACGGTGAAGATCAGCGACAATGGGATCCAAGCCAACCTCAACCGGAGCAAGGTAAGGCTGCTGTTGAAGAGCATGGATTGAGCATTATCAAGCCTGGGAATGAGTTTATCGCTGAAAAATCTTTTTGAGATGATGCATAGTTTGGAGAAAATTGTAGAGATCAAGTTCTTGTCAAATCCTTTATCCTCTGAAAGTAACCCAGGTTCAGTAACAGCAGCTCTTGATTCAGTAATATCCCTTTTTAACAGCTCTATAGTACAATTCCTCTGGGCATCTTTTGGAAGAGCTGCTCTTTGCAATAGTTATTTTCTGTCCCAACAGTTGTGACCTCTTAGTGTTCAAATTAATTTTAATGAACTTAGCACTGTGCAGGAACCCCTGTAGCACCAGGTGAGCTGTTCCACTTCAAAGAAGGTTTTGAGCTTCCAGACTGCAGGAAGGCTTGTTGTCCAGTGGAAGGAATATTGGCCCAGAAGCTGAGTTTATTCACTTCTTTTTTCAGTTTCTCCTGGCATGAAAGAAAGAGAAGAATTTGTTTAGTCATTTAAAAAGCAGTGGATTCAAAAGAAGCCACCTTGCAAGATTTTTGTGGGTAGTTACTTGCTGAGAGCTGCCTGGAAAGTTGCTGAAAAATCCTAGCAAACACCACTTTCTTCTACCACGGATTAACTAGTGTGATGATAATGTTATTTAACGTGCCATATAGACTAGGATAGTACATTTAAAATTATACTGGCTTGTTATGACAATGCTAATTTTACATGACAGTCCTTGTCTGCAGTGGATGCTAAATCATGTTTGTCATCATAGGTATAGGTTGTTCTGTGGTACATCCAGCACTCTGACATGTGCTCTTATTTCACCAAGTTGTGGGTAAGGGTTGATTCTTTGGTCGTTTTTCAGTCTAAAATTAGCCTGGAAGGCTTGGAAGATAAAAGTATGGATGTGCAACCACCTCTCCCACCCAAAGGAGATCCAAGCAAGTACTCCGAGCTAAAAGGGCAGCTGGGGACCAGTGAAGGTATAGTTGTGTGATCATTGTTTTATTTTTATTAATAAGAAAATACTTCAGCTTCTTTAAAGGGTTTAGGGTATTCTTTCAAAACAGTAATGGGATCTGGATGAAGGGATTTTTTTCTATTTATAGGAGTTCTGAGCAGGGAAATAAACAGCAGGAAATGGAAAGAAAAGTCAGCTTGAAGTGGTTCATTCCAGCATAGGTTGGATATTTTATATCAGTTTTGCAGAGTTTTTAAGCACTTTAAAACTTCTTCCTCAATCAATGTTAAAAAGAAAAACATCGTTTTGAACGGAGGAATAAGAAATAGTAGCATGAAATCCTTAGGCATTACAAACTGAATTATTTAATTTATGAATATGTGGAATTAAAGCTTTGATGCTATTAAGAAAACTTTTTTTCAGACTGAAAAACAGCTTGTTTTTGAAGTAGTTGAATTCAACCCAAATATCTGGTATTTCAAATTACAGCAAAATTGCTAGTCACCAAAGTATGTCCCCCCACTTTATATGTTATGCCTTGATTCTTCTCTTTAGATTGCTGACCTGTCAGCAATATACCGTTATTTCTACAGGGGCCCTATTGATTTTGATGGAATTCTGCACAAAAGTATTGCAAGTTTTATTCATTCCAGAACAGATCTGTTTGGAGAGGAACATGAATAGCAAGGAATTATGGGAGATAGATTTCTATCCACACATTTTAATAAAAGTCCTTTTTTTTTTCCTTCCCCCTTTTACAGAAGGTGGCCTTTCACCCAAACTTATCAGCCCTCCTACACCTGCCATGTACAAGTATCGACCAGCTTTCAGCAACAATCCCAAAGTCCACTACCACGCTACGGCTGAGCAGGTGAGCGAACCTGGATGGATCTGCTCCCAGGTAACACCAGGGGACTCGGAGCTGAGGATAAATCCACTGCAGGGCTCTAGCGAATGTCAGAGTGTAAAAGTAAATAATGACACTTGGCATTGTTGTGTGAGAGTGTGTGTTTTCACTGTGCTCCTTATGAAAACACATCTGCTTTTGCAGCTTTCCTCTGTTGAGCTTGACACATCCGTCCTCCTGACAGGCGTGCACTGCTGCTTCAGCAGCGTCTCGGCCTGATCCTGAGACGCTGAGAAGTGTCACCTTCCGTTGGCTTCTCCTGACACAGGTGCCAGCTCACATTCACTTCAGAAGGAGCTGGGCATGCTTAGTGCTTTTCTGGATCAGACCCTTTAGCCAACAGACAACATGCTCAGTGATTCATTAAGATGTCAGCTTGCAAAACAGAAAAAACTTTTAAAGCATCCCCCAAAATATTTCAGTTAGAATTAATGGAAGATTCCTCATGTTTGACCTTCCTTAGCACCTTCTCAGCACATTTGGGTTATATGGAAAAATCTAACTTCCTAACACTCACATAATTTCCTCCTAGCAAAAAAACTGAGGCCCAAACAGTTGGAGAGACTTGCTCTGGAACTTTGACTGTTTTCTCTTTTGCTTAGGAATTTTGAAACAATTTACACTGTTCCCTTTGGAAGCAGAGAGTAAAAGTAAGACCACTGTTAATAGGCTTGGTTTTCTCACTTATTCCTCGTGGATTTGTTGCAAATATTCCTTTTCCCCACCAGGACCTGAGAACAGCAGTTTGAAAATCACTGATCTAACTTGTGTATTTGCAGCAGGTTTTCACACACCAGTGGAGATACCCTTAAAACACACGTACCACACACAATGCAGTTTTCATATAATTAATTTAATCAGATCCTTCAATGTCATCCCTACGATAACAAGAAGGGAGTGACATAAGTAAGGAAAGGAAAATATGGTAGATACATGTCATTGACTGCAACAACACTGGAATAATACAGAATGGTCCTTAAATGGTGAAGAAAATTTTTCTAGTACCCTTTGAAGAGGAAAATGGTGGTAGATGATGGAATTCCAGTTACCAGGGTTTAGTCTTGCTACAATAATTGTAAATCTTATTCTCTGGATTTGTTCACTTAATAAAGATTGGCTTATAAGTACAACAGTATCTTCACTGTGTACAACAAGTTTAATATCCTAGCATCTTCACTTTAGTACGTGAAAAAGGGCTTGACATCCAATTCAAAATACTCTATTTACAGGCATCATTTAGCAGTTTGAGCTGTGTAAGCAAGAGTATTTTGTGTCATGATGCCAGAAGGCAGAGAGCCACGGAAAACAAGCTTGTTTCATTCAGTCAGTATGCAGCCGCAGATGCAACATCAGTACTGGGTGGGTTCTGAGGAGGCCCGGAGACTGGGGCAGTGCTAGGGAAAAACTCTGAGGGTTGCTGTTTTGATCCCAACCTAAAAAGATGTTGTTACTACAGGCTGACTGGTGTGTATATGATGAACTCTCTGGACTTGTTCAACGTTATAGTAGTCACAACTTCCTAGTAGTCAAATGGGAATATTATAAAAATGAGTTCGCTTGGCAAGCTGGTAGGATAGCATGTATTTGTGTGCCAAGCCATATCTAAGCGTAGGGTACAGAGGGAGACTAGCTGGTGTGAGGAATATCACGTTGTCTCTTCTGGATCAGTTCTTCAGCCTGTCAATGCAATTCTGCTTTTGAGCAGGGAAAGCTGTTAGGAAAGAGAGATCGGGACTCAAGGATAAGTAGCACAAATATACTTACAAGCTATGTCATTGCTTTCTCCTCCTCCTTTACAGGCTGTCACTTGGTCTCATTTTTTCAGAGAAGGCCAAATTTAGCACCATGCTCTAGAAGATAGTGAGCTGCTGTTTTGCGTATTTCCCTATCTTCTAGCTCAAAGAAAAAAAACTTGGAGAAGATTTCTGAATAAACCAAATTTTTGCCAGTTAGGCTTTTTTAGGATAATCTTCCCTTAAAAGAAATGAGATAAAGAGCAAACTGCATTGACTGTGTTTCTGATTAAATATGTGACTGATAACAATTGTTTGCAGAGCCAGTGTAGCCAGTTTATTGTACCTTATAGCAAACCCTTTCTTAAAAATAACAGCGAACATTATTTACTTAGTGCAGGCATTTTAAGTGAGCAGAACTGTAAGCAATCTTTCACAGAGTAAAACAAAGTGAAGTCCTATCTGTTTTCCATGAACATAAATAAATTATGGCCTGTGTTTTCTTCTCTGATGTGGCAATTCTCTCCTATAGAAGCAATAAAACAGAAAATTGCTTCATTTTGTTGTCTAAATGGTAGGAAGGAGCCTCTCTGCTTTAATTAAGCTTAGGTGCTTATATTTGAAGACTTATGACCAGAAATTCAGCATTACTGAATATTCATGGCTCTGAATAAAGTGGATAAGAGTGTGCTGGTCCCCAGTGTGTTGAAATGAAGACTAAAGTATTTTTGACTCAGCACACAAAACCAGGCATCTCTCAACTCTGGAGCTATTTGTAGAAAATGAAGCGAAGTGCTTTTTCCAAGGGCAATATTATCAGATTACAATCTGATTTACTTTGAGTCTCAGTTTAGAAGGTATCTCATTCTGTGTTTTTAGTGTCCGTGTATTGACATTGGATTGACACTACTGTCAGTATTATTTAGCACTTACTACAAGTATGTCCTTCTTGCTTTTAAGGAGCTTATCCATATGCTAAACAGGAGTTAGGAGGTTCCTTAGAAAGATCCTGTGTCATAGCTGGGCTAAGAGTCTGAGAAAAGACTTCCAGCTTCTTTTCTTCCCATGCAGTCACCATGGAGAGCAAACCTGTACTTACATATCATTGGCTTCTGTTTCTCATATTCACCTCTGTTTTAGATCACGATGCAGGAGGGACACAGTCAAGGGGCTTTGATAGAAGAGGATGGCAGGAGCCTTGATTACCAGTCCGAACCCAGCTTGGACATCCCCAGCTACCGGAAGAGCTCCCTCCACAAGACCTATCAGTCTTCCCCACTCCAGATAGATTCCTTTGCTATCAATTCACGATCCCTGAGCCTGAAATCTGCTGGCAGGAGAGGGACAGACAAAGTGCCCCTCCATCCAATAAAGTCTGAAGGGGCAGCTTCCACCCCTTACAAAAGCATCTTTTCTCCCAACTCCCTGTCAAACAGAAATGGGAGTCTTTCATATGACAGTTTGCTAAACCCCATGTCGCCCTCGGGAAGGAAGTGCATCGCCCATTCTGCCGTCAGCTCCGTTGGGTACCACTCCCCGTATTTATCAGCCAAAATGTGCCATCTACGGGGGAGCGAGCTGCAGCGCCAACCACCGCAGAGCTTCAGCCCAGTGCTGGGGAGTCCAGCTCCACATCAGCGAGACCCCTCCCCAGTCCGCTATGATAACCTTTCCAAAACCATTATGGCATCCATCCAGGAGAGGAAAGAGATGGAAGAGAGGGAGAAGCTCCTCCACTCGCACCCTGATTCGGTGTTTGCAGACTCAGGTGTCTATGACACCCCTAGCTCCTACAGCCTTCAGCAAGTCAGCACGCTCTCTGAAGACCCGCGCAGCATGGCCATGAGATACGGATCTAGAGACAATCTCATGGCTGCTACCAGTTTTAGCACAAGGAATCCTCTACTGCAGTCCTCAGTGTCTTCACTTTCAAGTGCAATGACAAGAGCACCAAGGACTTCCACAACCTCTCTGCAAGCTGATTTAGCCAATAATAATGTCCAGTCACATCAAGCACTACAGGGCAGGGTGAGCAATGGCTCCTACAAATCTCCAGGCCACCAGGTCCCGTCGTCCCCCACAGGGATGCCTAGGTCACCCTCTTACGGAGGCCCAAAGGCTGTCTCATTTGTAAACACTGTGGAAATTACGGAGGTGCAATCAGTAGGAGCACAAAGGTAGGTCCTGCTTTAGGTGCTGCTTAGCAATGTCTATCTGCTTGCGAGCAAAGGCAGAGCGCTGCGCTGGAGGCATGACCCAGGTTACATCTTTGCAGTAGGCCAGTGAGGGTGGGAGGTTTGTGTGTCCCATTGTGCACAGAAGGTTGGAGGTATTCTAGTTTGCATCCTAAAGGAAGGCTGGATCCAGCCATTGCTTGGACACGAGAGACAAAGCTGGGATCGCAGCATGTGCAAGCGTTCCCTGCACTAAGGCAAACAGGCTGAGACCACTCCTGGCAATTGTGCTTGGCACAGAGAGCTGTGTATTTAGCTGTGTTGAGTGTCCCATAGCGGAACACTGGTGATAAAAGCACAGGCTTCCTTGGCATTACCTCAGGGTCTCACTACCCCCTTCCTTTCTGTGAGAAAGCGTGGGGAGAGAGAGAGGATTTGCTGTGCCGAGAGCCTGAGTAAGGAGTATCCGAGGAAGATCATCATCTGCAGCTTCTGCATGTGCTTTCTTCTGGAGACTACAGGGCTTGGAAAGTCTGAAAAGAGCTCATGATCCCATAGGGGATGCAGTGTTTCAGTCAAGTTGGGGCCTGGGGGGCTCATCAGAAATATCTAGGGATTTTTGAATCTGGCACTTACTGCACTGTGCTGTTCCCTGGTTAAGGTCCTGTGTTTCTCACTCCAGTATTGTCCAACATTTGGGGAAAAGTTGCTGAAATGTGGGGAACCATTATCGTAGGCGTCCTGAAGTTTAATTCCAGCAAGTTCTTCCTCAGTGTTTTCAAGTGAATTGCAGTTGTTACAATGATTTGTCTACTGGTGGGAGATCTGACTTTCAGGAGGTAGACAGCTGGCTTTTTCCTCTTCATATGTATTAAAGAAACAAGTCTGTTTCAGTGAAAGAAAACCTGTGGACTTTCTTTTGCCTTTCCGCCCTCTGTTTGAGACCTGGATGCATCAGCTGCTGCTGTTGTATGAAATGTATGATGCTGATTTGAAAAGCTGTTTGCCTTTTCTGTCTCTAGTTCTTGGTTATGCTTTCAGCCTGGTGGTGCCACTGCTTTTGTGTTTTGCTTGTTTAAAATGTTGAGCCTGTAAAGTCATTTCAGTTCAGCTCTTTGAAGTAATGAAAAATACAGTGTTTGGCAAAAGTGGTGTAGCTATGAAAGTAGCTACAGATCCCATCAGATGTTAGAGGAAGTTGCAGATGTATGATACCATTGCAGAGGATCATTTTTACTGAAGTTCTTAAAGTCAAGTCAAATACCTAGATTAATAAATAAATAGCTTAATAAACTTGGAGTTTTTTACCTACTGCAGTAAACCTCTCACAGGCATTCTGTGCTTTGTAAAAGTAGCGCAGTTTCTCTGTCAATAACACTACAAATGTCTTCCCTTTCTCCCCTTTCCTCTAACACTCCCCATCTCCTTTCTGCTGTTGTTTCAGAAGGCAGACTGCATTCTTCAGGAGAATTTCAGCACTGAATTGGGGCTTTTCTAATCCTTCAGCGAGGCAAATGTAGAATTTGTTCACTGCGTATTTTGGCTGTCTGGGGATACAGCAGAGTTTTACAAAACCGCACAGTATTTTTCTTTATCTATATGTGTTTTGCTGGTTCAGATACCCACAACTCCATTCTCTAGTGCAAGCGTGGCTTAAAGATGTAGCAGAAGCTGGGCTGGTGTGAGCTGATGGACCTGCTGCTCCAGCTCCAGGGTACAGCTGTCAGACCAGGTTGCCACATAAAAAGTGCTTTGGAGCTATTCTGAGCCTATCAAGAGCTGTGTAAGAGTCCTGGGTAGGTTGTTTTGTTTTGCAGACACATATAAAGAAAGAAATTACCATCTGAATACAGTTAATCCATCAAACCCTCTGGCCTCCAGCAAAAGTCAGGGTGATCTGAAATAGCTCAGGCTGTCTCGGTTTGCAGGCAGAAAGTGTTCTCTTCTGGAAGGTATTTCAGCCCCTGGTCACTGCTGCTGGCATCAGCCAGTGCTAAACTTCAGACTGAGTTAAATACAAGCAGACACCCACTGCGCAGGGGAAAGATGTGAGAATACAGCAGACCCTGGTTGTGCTGGCACTTCCAGAACACATGCAAGTTCTTTAGTAGGTTTTATCTAATTGCTTTGTGAGTCTTGGGGATGAGAGACGTTAAGCTTTAGTGTGCGGTGGCCTAGATTTAAAAGATCTTTCGAGGAAAGCCTGTTGTCCATGCTCTCTGGCAGTATGTCACAAGAGAGGAAACTATTTTAAAGAGTCCATTGGAAATATGGTCTTTAATTATAAGCATCCTAGAGTGCTTCCTGACCTGATTCAGCTTGCGTCTTCTGTTGTAAAGAAGTCTTACGCTTCACCTCTCCTATATCTTTCAGAGATGAGCAACATAATTTAGTTTAACTGTATATTTAACTGGGAAGTGTTTTTTTTATGAGTATTTTATTTTTGATTGTAAGGCAGCTTGGTTAAGGTCAGCAGTGATGACAGTTAAACCCTCCTACGTTCCTGTAAATGTTTATGCAATTGTTTTGGTCCAACAAAGCATTTAAGCAAGCAATTAAATGAACAAATATTACTGGGGTCTGATCCACTAACCTAATGGCCGGATGAATTCTCTCATTTCAGTGGCTTTTCATCAAGTATATCGGCTTCAGCCAGGTTGCTCCCATGCTTGAATATTTTGCAGCGCTGGGACTCAGGGTAACAGGGATAATTGTTTATCCCCAGTGAAGCCATTCTGCTATCACAATTTAATCACTGACTTTGCATCTTTTTATATTTCTTTCGATGCAGGGATGAGTTGCAGTTGAAGACACCTCACAGTAAAATAAATGGACAGCCAAAAGGAATATCCAGGTTGGGTTCAACATCAAGTTCCCAGGGGACACCTGTCAGCCCTGCTAGACACTCAAATGTTAAGAAGGTGTCTGGAGTTGGTGGAACAACCTATGAAATTTCAGTGTAACATAAAATTAATTAAAAATAAAGAGCCATCCACTCAGCCAGCCATGAAGCTAGGAGCACTGTGAAGACTCAAATAACAACAAAGAAGGAGCAGCAGCACCTGGCCACTCTCCTTTTCTTGTTTTGGGTTTGTTCTGTTTTCTTCTTTCTCTTTTGGCCAAAAACCAGCTGCAGCCTTACATTTGAGGGAATAAAACTGTTCAGTCCATCAGACTCTTCCTGAACTGACAGGAAGGAACTGGCTGCGACTTAACACCACAACCACAGAGCGGATTTCTTTCATGCAAGAGAGTGCTAAAGCCATCGTGCGTGTGTCTGTCCAACAAACCTGTTGCCTACCAGTTGTGCTGTGAAGAAGTATGCTCAGTCCAGGATCATTCAGTTTTGCCCGTGCCCCTTCGCAGTTCTTCTGGCCAGCGATGTGTCCGGCAGGAGTCAGAGGCCCAACTGCTGTTTCCCTGCTGACGTGGAGAGCAAGCTGCCCGCGCTGGGCAGGCTGCCTGTGCAAGAACGGCTCCGGCTCCCGCAAGCGTTGCAGGTTGGTTCCTCCTCCTGGGAAGCAGCAAGGCAAGGGCACCCGGGCCACGAACACCATGTCATCTCAGAAAGCTTCCCTGGTCCCAAATGGGAGCAGGACAAAGTATAACAACAGCTTCTCACCGTCCGCCATTCGCCTCCCTGTGTGTGAAATTGTGTGTGTGTGCGTGCGCGCATGTTCATCTCCCGTGGAAAAGGACCGTGACACCAGTAAGGATCTTCCACTGACTTCTTGCTCCCTCTGGTTTTTAAAGGCTTCTCTGACTCAGAAAAAAAACCCAAGCAGATAAGAAAGGAAATGTTTGGATGGGAACATATTTTAAACAGCTGTCAGCTGCTTTCCCTGCACCCTCCTTATTACCTGTTGGATTTAGGCAATAACATGTTTTACTGCCTTGCCCTGGTGCCGTCTGTGTAATCCTGCAGCAAGGTTATCTTGATCTGTTGAATTTACAGTGTGTGTAACTGAGCCAAGCATACATCTAAAGGATATACATTTTCTGTCTGCCTAATTACTAGCACATTCCCTCTGATCTTCAGTACTGTTAGACAAAGGATTTTCCATTTGGGTTTTTTTCCCCAGGGAACAACTTTTTAAAGTAATATCAATCAAATCTGTTTAACATTCTGAGGTTTCCTTTTCCTGTCTCCTGAAAACTACATTTACTATGTTGGATTTACAGACAACTTTACTATAAGAAACAAGATAAAGGGTGCATTACATTTGTCACAAATATGAGGACTATGGCAAAGCTAATTTTGGGACAAAGGGAATTTTTTCCTTGTCTCCATTCCTTATTCTCCTTTTCCTTCCCATTCCGTTACCACCTCAGAAGTCAAAAGTACTGAGATCTGGACCAATGCTAACTAGCCAGATCACGCGTGCAATTAAGAATATCCTGAGCGACTGTTGCCAAAGTCACTAAAAATGATTATTTTTCAACTGAGCCCGTCAGCATACGAGACCTTGAAATCCCACCCAGTTCTCCAGGTGAATAGTTTCGACTAGAGAGCTAGATTCATAATTTTTCAGGATATTTGTTTCAAGGGGTTGAATCCTTTTCAGTCCTTGACTATAATGGAGACCTTTCCAGATACTTGGTAGCAATTCAGAATGTGTTGGTAACATCTAACTTGTTTTCATGTATGTTGAGATTAATTATTCTAAAAGGCAAATATTGACCTCAGTTTTGCCTGCTTAAAATTTATCTTTTGATTTGGTAAATCTTGACAACTGGTGCAGTACAGGCTTTCTATTTCCCTGGTATATCACATTTTTTGACAAGGAAAGTTGAAGACAACATAAGAAAGTTAATCATCTCCCTGTGTAATGCTCTATGTTGCCTGAAGGGAGAAACCTGGAAAGCAATGCAGCTGCAATAGGCCAAAGTTATGAGAGAGTGAACTGAAGATCAGTGTGCATGTTATTGCCTTGGTGATATTGTGAATGCCTGCTGTAGGGACAGTGCAGAGCAGAGAAGCAATATTCTTTCTATGCAGATTTGCTCACTGGCATCTAGAATATTGCCTTTAGTTGGTGGCACCACCAGAAAATGCTGGCAAACTGGATCAGGTGCAGATGGAGCAATACGTATTAAGAGACTGGATGGCTGGCTGATGAGAAGATTTAAAGGGCTGAAAATATGTCACTGGCTAAGCAATTAAGCGGAAATTGAGTATCATGATCTTACAAATATGTTAGTGAAAAGATATAAAGCCAAAGGTCAATCAAAGGGTTGTCACAGATGGTCTGCATTTAGAAGCGGGCAGAAAAGATGGAGGGGACGGGGCAATGGAGTAGTCTTCCAAGGCAGAGATTGGAGACTAATCATTTAGGACAGTCAAACTATATTTGGACAAGTCATTAAAAAAAATTCTGTAACAGGTGAGCCTGCAGGGGCAAGGGGCTAGACCAGATGGCCTTACAGATTTCTTCCATCTTTAACTGTTATTAATCTGCAACTGTGCTCCTCAGGAAGATTCAGTTCTTCCTCAAGAACTGGAATTCACTCTGGTGCATAGAGTATCACAAGACTTACTTGTTTTTAAAGTATCACATATGTCGTATGTAAGCCCTGAAAAAGAGGGGATATGGGACTCACTGAATTTGGGCTAGGGAGCTAGACAAAGCACATTTTATCATGTATCTTTGAATATGTACATGAAATTCATGCAAGCAAGGCTGAAAATTTGCACCAATGTGATATTTGAGATTTGCATCCCAGTGATGCTCCACTTTGATCGTTCTTTCTCCTGCATTTATAAACAAAAAAAGCTACTGAGGAACTTGAAGGGCCAAAGAGCCTTTGAAGTTAACTACATTAGTTCATGAGAGAATTTCTCAGTAAGACTAAACACAGTATTGTGTGTATAAAGCACTAATATCCAGGGTTATTTTGACATAGTTCACAAGGGGTAAGGGAGGAAAGGATGAATGCACTGTGTCATTATAGGTTCAGATGTCAGGATTATATATTTTGTGAGTAGTTTTGCCCACAGTTGAGAGACATTCGAGTTGTTAATAGGTTTACAATGGTACCAAAGTCTATTTTTTTTTTTCTCCTTTAGAGGTTTGCATATAATTCAGAGCACATAGCCTGGAGTAAATTATTCAAATCTTCTGAAAGAATAATCTAAGCAGAACTGTTAACAGGAGATTGCATTCAGCAAATCCAGCCTCATTTCCATCCATGGCATTGAACCTGCAGCTATTTTCTCATAAATGTAAGTGTCTGTTTCCATAGCTCGTGTTGTGGGACTGGGGACCTATTTATTAAGTCTAATATTGGAACAGAATCCAGCCCATGTTAAAGTATAGTTCTTCAAGCAGTTTACAGCTTAGCACTAAGGTTCTCCTGCCCAGATAGTCTCGGTTTTTGCAGACACTGCAGGCCAAATCTTCAACTGGTGTAAATTGGTGTGGCTCCATCAAAACTCATTTAAGTGATGCTAATTTACAGTAGGTGGAGATCAGCCATGAAAATCCAGCACAAGTTAATACATCTTGTAAAGTAGTTTCTTTATTTTTGTCATGTTTTTTGTCAGAAGTCTTAAATCTTTTCGATATGTTTTTATTGTTAGCTGAGGATTGTATTACTTATTTAAAAAACAGCAATAGTTTTTGTTTAGTTTATGCATCGATTTTCATCGCATATTGCGTTTTATTAGCTGTTCGTTCCCTGTTCATACACTCCCATTTAGCCTCCAGGTTTTCATTGTAGTACAATCTGCCTTGAAAAGTTGGATCTCTGTATCTTTAATTGTACAATATATTGAGTATTATGAAATTAAATGTACCTTACTACATGGGTGAGAGAGAGAGGAAATATTTTTACTTGAAGCCTTAATATTTTCTTTTTTTACTACTTTGTTTATTGACCTCATAGGAAAGTCTGAATAGCAAAGACTTTGAAACTCTAGGCCAAATACTGCACTGATACACAACCAGTATTTGGCCCCCTATGTCAAAACTGGATGCAGACATAACCTGAAGTGAACAAGGGAAAAAGCCTCAGGGTGGCATATTTTCCTGAAGATCATTAAGACAGTCTCAAAACGTGTCTGTGAGCAAGTATTAAAGAAGTCTTCAAGTTCTTAAGACAGATGATAGCAGGAACTGCCCTAGTATCTTACATTTGCGTTTTCTTTTTAAATGAAGCAAACCAAAACAAATGTAATTACTTAGTTTGGTTGAAGTCAGCTCTAAGGGTTGCACAGAGCTATGTGTCGGTAGCCACGTGCAGCAAATGGACTGTGTTGTGTTGCTGTTCTAGAATCGCTAACCGCGCATCATGTCATGTCAACTTGGCCTAAGATAACCACCTCACGGGCGTTACAACGGACGTTCCTCAGATGATGCCTGTTCTCCTATAAGCCTAATGTGGAAATTGCAATGTGGTTTTCTTTGGACTATATCTGTGGTCCAGACTAGAGATATAGATAGATAGATAGATAGATATTATTTTTTTTTTTCGTGTTGGAAAGATGGGGTCAAGGTTGCTGTCTCTGACAGTCTGGAAAGTTAATGTCGAACTGTTTTTATGGTCTGTATTTCACCTGTTCTGCCACCTTGAATTGTTGGAATGTATCCGTGCAGGCTTTGTGGAGCTCTGTAACCTTTTTTGTGGCTCTCGTAATACATATATATTTTTTAAAACTTTGCGTTACTTCAGTATTTTCAAGTGTCTGGTTCTCCCAATGGCTCACGCCTCAGATACATTTGTTTGCCAAGAGGGTCCGTGGTAGCTGCCCTCTCGCTTCCGCATGTGCAAAACATGAACTGACATGGTAGAACTGGAAAGACCGGTTCCAGCGCAACATCTGCAGGTGGCAAAAGACTGGAAGAAGTGATTACAGATTGTCTCATTTTCAGGGTGCTTATAGTAGAGTGGAAAACGTGCCGAGTCTTTAAAAGAGCATCTCCTAGTTGGGACCAACAGATCACGCTTGTGAGGCCACAGTAAG